TTCGATTGATTGTCCAGTAACTGAAATATGTGAATCAGCCTTTTATAGAAAGAAAAATTTGGGTAATAAAATTATAGCGCCAACAATCAAAGTAATTCGCAAAAATGCATTTTCTTATAGTGATTTGAAACAACTTGATTTGTCGCATGTGGAGCTTTTTGAAGAACAGGAGAAATTGGACATGTTGACAGCACTCACAATGAATTCAACAATTACTTTCAACTATTTGTATCAATGTGATTCATTACAATCAATTGAAGTTGTTGGTACAAAATTTGTAAAAGGAAAAGCTGCGTGTTGGATGAAGACTTTATTTGACAAAAAGAATATAGAAGTCGAGGAGTATATGTATACTTGTAAAGATTGTGAGTTACTCAAGGGGATATTACCATCAAATATCACAAACTTAAAGACTATAGAATATGTTGTAAGATTAAAAGATCTGGAAATCGATACTTATGAAGTCCCAGATAGTGTGACTACAATATATGCCGAAAATTTTAGAATGTGTAAAAACATCAAAAAATTACTTTTACCAAAATGTCTAGACACTGGTTTTAATTTTACATCACTAACAACAATAAAAGAAGCGGCTTTACCCTATATAACCAATAATAAATATAACATTTATTTTTTTGGAGAATTAACATCAATTACTTTTCTTGACGAAGACGTGTTGAATAATAGACGAATGTACGACTTAAACTTGAAAAGTATTAAAAACATCGATTTTGCACATTTACCAACAGATGGTATTTATCGTGGGAACGTGGATTATATTTTTTATAATTTATTAAAAACAAAATACAAATTTGAAGGGGATGTTGTGTTGCATCATCTTGAAAACTGGGATCATGAAAAGGGAATTTATATAATTCCAGACGATGTAACTGTTGTTGGTTTTCATGCTTTGTGTTATTGTGACTATTTGAAAAAGATATGGGTTGGTAAAAACACACGGTTGATTAAAGAAAATGCATTTTATATTTGTAAGAATTTAAGTTTAGTTAAAAACTTAAAAAAGTCAACAACTATTGAAAAATTTGCATTTGGAAAATCAAATCCAAAATTGGAATATAATGACAAAAATTAATTTACATTTATAATGTCATTTGTGATTAGTATTTATGTAACAATAAATAAACTAAAGACCATGATAAAATACTTAAACAACGTAATGATTTTCATTGAATTATTATTATAGCATTAAAAATAACAAAAAATGGAAAGAAGAAACATATGAAAAATTTTATTGATAATCAAAAAAGAACAAAGTTTTGAAAAAAAAATAAAACACAAGTTTATATTAAAAAGTGTATCGAAGTATACAACTTTTTGTGTTGTAAATATTTAAATAAAGTCAGTCTGAAAACCTAATTTATTCCAAAACCTTATTTATTGACAAAAATGGGTTATTATTATTATTTGGTTTTGGTTTTCAATTTTTTTAAATTCTATTTTAATCAAAATGAACTAAGACTAATTGATTGATTGATTTTTTTGAGTTCAGACATTGAATATTAGGAAAGAAAATGGTGCCGTTGTTATGAAAATGATTGGCAAATCTTTTGTTGTTTGAATGATATATATAACACAAGAATCTGACAACAAACAATTTGGGTTTCATCAAAAACAAAATAAATTGTAATAAGTAAAAAAACAAGATTGGCAGACTCAAACATCGAATTGTTGTTCTGCGGTCAAGGAAAAAATTATACACGTGAAATTGTCCTAACAATGTGGACGTCAATTTGCTCTTCAAAAAAAATTATTTAAAAAGAAGAAAAGTACTCACACAAAAAGCAAAAATTTTCAAAAAAATGATCCAAAAAACTGGGCTTATTTACAATATTTCCCATCATTTTTTTGGTAAATAACAACATTAATAATACTATTTACTGAAATTATAATAAAATATCAAACTAATCAAATATCATAATATTAATTTCCACAATGTTGTAATTAAATCAAAAAACAAATTAAATATAAAAAACTTTCAAACAACAAATACAACTAAATGAGTTGTTTATTTTTGTTTTTGTTGTATATTAAGTAGTTTATAATATTAATATAGACAATCTTCTGTTATTTCAGTGATTTTTCTTGACATTTTGATGTGTACAAATATATTCAACATCAATACAAACGTAAAAGACAATATACGTTTATTAATAACATTTTATAATAGTGTAATTATACTTATAATTAGAAATTTACTTAATAGCGATTAACATAAATAACATTCAAGTCACCAATATCAATTAAATTCATTCAAACAATTTCAAATTGTTACTAAAAAATACACAATTAAAAATATATTAAAAATACATAGTTAATTTAATAATTTTAATTTTTGAAATGTTTCAATTGTTTCCAGTT